TGATACTGCCATTTTCAAATACTGCCATTTGTGACAATATGGATGGACCTTGAGAATATTACACCTAGCAAAATTAGTCAGAAAAAGCCAAGAGCCATATGATTTCACTCATATGTGGGATATAAAACAAACTCATAGACAAAGAAAATAGTATGGTGGTTACCAGGGGGATGGTAGTAAAGAGTAAAGGGGGCTAAATATATGGTGACGAAAGATGATTTGACTTTGGGAGGTGGGAACACAATGCAATACATAGATCATGTTTTATAGAAATGTACACTTGAAACCTATACGATTCTATTAACCAATGTCATCTCAATGCATTTAATAAAAAAACAAAGTAGGTTCAAATCCCTATATGAGCTAGACTAGGAAGGCAAGACTATTTTACAAATATGGAAACCGAAGCTCTGTGAGCTAGAGTCACTTAAGAGGGAGATTGTCATGAGACTAAAAGCCAGATCTTCTGTCATTTACTGTTTTTGCATTCACATCATCTGCTAGGCAGATCAAAAAGGTCAGAGTCACAGAGGTAATAGAATGCATGTTCAGACTGGAGCCCTTTTTATTCTCAATGCCTGACACATAGAAGTTGCTTGATAAATGGTTATCAATCAATTAATTAACTTAAGTGCCATCTTGAAGTAAATTTATGAATCAAGCAGTATCATCAGCTGTAGTACTAAGCAGGGTGAACATTCAGCCTGGCCACTCTAGTGCAGCTGGGAATAGCAACAATAGCCAAGATTTACTGTGTGTTTACTATAATTTCAGGGATTATCTAAATACTTAACAAGCATTTTAGATAACCTTTGCAATAGTATTTAAGTGCCATTTTTATCCCATTTTACATATGAAAAAACTGACGTGCAATGAAAATTTTACTTACCTTGGATCACTCAACTGGTAAGGGGTGGAGATGGTATTCATACACAGGTAGTTTGATTACAGAGCCCACTCATACTACACAGATTCAAGATAATGAGGTGGCAGAGAGTGACAAGGGCCATCCTCCTCAAACTCTGTGCCAAGGTGCAAGTTCACAGAGGCACTATGGAACATTAAAAAATTTTAAAGGAAACACAGCAATAGTTAATGTTTCTTCTGTACCATGCAAACTAGCAGCTTGAGGTAATTTACAATTTGAACATTGGACTTGCTACATTCCTTTTGATTGCAACACCTCTTTGGGAAACTGAGTTTTAAGCAATCTCTCTGATTAAAAAAAAAAAAGGTACAATTGCACATTGATGTTTCTCTTCCTCTCTCCTTTCTCCTGTCTCTAAAAGTAAATAAATAAAATCTTTAACAAAAAACCTTGCATGTATTTTTTAATGGTTACTAAACTGTTATGAATCAACTACTTAAAAGGCAAAGCTATTAGGTATTTCTTTTGCCCTAAGGGTGCTGTAAAAAAAGAGATTGCTGAGGTATTAAGCTCACTATAAACTAAGAAATTGGAAACTTCTGGCCAGGGTGCTGAAAAGAGAGCAGCAATTTTCAACAGGTGAGCCGCGGAAGGCACATTGGTGCGCTGCAAGAATTTTTAAAACATGCAGTACCTGGCTCTTTAGTCAGGGGTACTGACCTCTTTTTTCTCAGATTGTCAAATAAAAAAATGACAACAGCCAACACAAGAATAGCTATCTGACATGAATCAAAATTACACCTTTTTTTTTTGTAAGATCAGCAAAAAATAGAATATATTTTTTGGTGTACTGCAGGATTTTAGCAATTAGTTTATGTGTGCCATGAGGTGAAAAAGGTTGAAAATCACTGGAATAGGATATGGGATCTTTGCTTGAGATTGGTGTAAAAAATAATATGTGGAGCCACTTTACATGTGACTCAGTGCTGCCAGTGCAAAGGGACTGCCTTGCATTTCTTACTCCTCAAATCATTGAAATGTTAAAATGGACAAAATAATTTTTGGACTGGGGTAAAGCAACACTGTATCTCTCTCTTTTTTTTTAAAGACTTTATTTATTTATTTTTAGGGAGGGGGGTAGAGAGGAAGAAAGAAAGGGAGAGAAACAGCAATGTGTGGTTGCCTCTTTTTTAGTCGGGCATGTGCCCTTTGGTTCACAGGCCAATGCTCAATCCACTGAGCCACACCAGCCAGGGTACAACACTGTATCTCAAACAACTGTTTCCAGAGATGAGAAGAAAGCAGATAGTATGACTGCAGGACTAAGAAACAGTCTTTAGAATTAGCATCACTGTATTAGCTTATCTGCAGCCTTAGAAATTTCTATTTATGTAATTGTTTCTCTTCCCTTTCTCGTAAGTACCCTTTCCCTTCACCTCTTATTTGGGTTTCTTCCTGAATCAGTGCTTCCTGAATAGCTACTGTTTTGGATCTCAAACGCTTGTTTGCCTATCACTTTGGCCTATTATTATTATTATTTTCAAATTATAAGAGAAAGTTTATTTAGAAAGATACAGGGGTAGTAGAAGTGAGCCTGCTGGGCTGCGTGGACTCAGGAAACAAGTTACAGAGGTAGAAGAAGGGCTCTTGGAGTTTAGGAGAGAGACAAGCAAAGGTAAGGTGCCTGGGGGAAAGATGAGGAGGAAGGGAAAGGGACGGGCCTGCTCTTAAAAGAGAGAGCCACTGGCCTATTATTTTTAAGTTAACATGGCCTAAAGAAGTATACTGTATTTTGCACACCCACGTTTTTGTATACTGTATAATGCACACCCACGTTTTTGGCCCAACATTTCAGGAAAAATATCTTTTGTTTTAATTTTTTAATTCAATTTTTAATTAATATTTAGAAACAAACTGATTATTATATTATTTTGCAGATGGATATCATTATTGTTTTCTAGAGTTACACTTCTAATGCATAAGCATAAATAAAAGAATAAAAACATTTATATAGATATGGAATTAGTATTCCCCATGTATAATGTGCATGCTTACTTTTCCCTCAAAAATTTGGACAAAAAAGTGTGCATTATACATAGCAAAATACAGTAATAGACATTTTATATTTTTTGACCATTAAGTATCTGCTTTATATCAGTGTTCATAGTGCAGCAGATGCACACAAACATGTAACACCTGAATCTGTACCCTTTAAAGGTCAAAACCTCTGAGAAAAGCAGTAGGAGACGTAAACAAATCAAGGTTTGGGGAAGAACATGATCCGAGGTAGCATTTGATGCAACCTAGAGCCTGGGCACTCTTGTTAAATAGACCAAGATAAAGATGTGGTTTGAGGAGGTCTCCTGGACCTAGTAGGATATACTCCACTCTGGGCCATTGGTGAATCTGAGATTAAAGAGACTGGGGAATTCGAGTGATTATGTAGAACGTTGGTTGCTAAACTTGAATTTAGAATAAAGTATGTCATGTAGTCATAAAGGTTATGCCACCTGGCAAGGAGAGGTCTGGTAAACTGTCCTTGCCTGTCACATAACAGTGCATTTCTTTGGTGACCAGAATATTTGTGTATACTGCAGACTCTTCCCCATATGATGCTGTTCAAACATTACAGAAGATTGAGACTTGTCCCCGAATTTTCCTTTTGTAAATACATTGCAGATCCCCTAGTGTTGGTTTACATACACTAACTTTAAATAGTCCATTAAAATGAATTAAGTTTGCCATTTCTTAGATATAATGTTCTAATCTTGTCTTTTAGTAAACTGGATTGGATTTGGGTTGTTAAAAAAAACTTTTCAGTAATCAAATTGGATAGATATTTCCTTGGGCTGATTTTGACCTATGACTGATCTTATCCATCATTTAATATTATGCTTTTGTTGTTTCCATTGTTTATAGTCTCATTAGTGAGATCACTAAGATTTACTTTAGATCATCCTGGTATCTTTGCTAAAATTACTGGATGAATAAGGATAGTAATAATAATAATGATAACAATAATAACCAATAATAACAATAATGATAAAATAAAGTATTCATTTGGCACTGGGCTCTGTCCTTTAAATATAATATATATTACTTTTTCCTTTATTTAGTGTCTTTGCTCTTACATCCCTAACACTAGAGCAGTTCTGGCACCTAGCTGATGCTCAATATTTCTTACATGAATGAGTTAGAAACAGGGTTGGGAAATAGCGGCTTGGGCCATGGTGATGGGTAAAATGGCAAGCACAGACGATTAGAGCCGAGGTGTGTAGAAAAAGGTGGCAGATTCCAATAGCTAAGGAAGAGCCATGGATTTGTGATTTATGCGAAGCTGGTTAAAACTGTAAAACTGGAAGAGGAAATAGATCAATTCTTACGAAGATGTTATATTGTGTAGTTTTACTACATAACCCTCTGGTCTGTGTTACTTGGAACCAAGTATTGTGAAACCAAGGGACTCTCTGTTTTCCCATCTCACCCCACCTTTGGTGTCCAGGATCCAAGGATTCTTTCTTCTATAACTTTTATCTTCTCCCCATCTGGGCCTACATTTAGACCCCTAATATGCTTTTCCAAATCCTGTAACCTCCAGGTCAGCAATGTTGCTAGGGTCCACCCAGTTTTATTTGTCCAGTAAATAACTCAAGACACACTCATTTAATTTTCTTCTGGGGTCCCACGATCTAAGGTTTAAATTTTTCTCTTTTTAAATCTCTCAAGGAGTGCTGCAGACCCAACCCGGAAAGGGACTGCATGTACCTGGGCGGGGAAGCGGGGCCGGAGAAGTGGGGACGGTTAGAGGGTGGGTGGAGAGGGAAGCGGGGCGGGGAAAAATGTTGGCGGGCGGGACGTAAGGAAAGACCGCAGGCAGGTGGGCGGGGTTCCTTCCTTGGCTTCCAGCCTCTGGCCTTCTTCCCGCTCAGGTTTCCTTCTCGGAAAACCGGTCTCTAAGGACTGGGAATGAATTGCTGAAAGTGGAGGGTGGGGCGCGAGAAAGGGTCCAGCGCACGGAGGCTCGGGGAGGTGCTCAGGGCGGGGAGGAAAAAATAAAAAATCGGTTTTACTGCACTGCCTCCGGCGATTGAATCAGAGTGTATCACCATGGAGATGGGGCAGGCCCTTGTGCTTGGCTGCCATTGGCTGGTGCTCTTGGGCTGAGGCTATAAGACAGCGTCCGGTTTACTGTGCATTAACTGTGTGGACGCCCCCAGCTACGGAAACTCAGTTCAGCGGAGCAGAACGCTGCACAGAAGGGCAGGCTCATTGAGAGGGTGTCGGCGAGACCATGGAGAACCGGTGAGGTGGGCACCAGGCCCGGGGAACCTCGGAGGACTCTGGGGAGGGGAAATCTCTCACCGAGACCTGGAAACCCGGTACTCTCGGAGCCCCGATGTGGCCAGGAGAGGGAGCGAGTGCCGTGGAGAAGCAGAGCCCTTGCGAGGAGCCGGGAGTCAGAAACGCAGCAGCAGAGCAGTGGGGCGGCCCCGCCAGCAGGAGCGCACGTGGGAATCGAGTTGTAGTGGCGCCACCACAGAAGGAATGGGACGAGTTAGTAATAGTGTAGTCTACTCGGAAAGGGAGCCACTGCGTGTGTTCGTGTGTGTTTGTGTGTGAGCGCGTTTGCTTTTGGGATGTAAGTGTAGAGGGACTCATGTGCCCTCCTCCCCTCAGGGAAGAGGTTATTTCACCTCTTGTACTCTTCACGGATTCCCATTTTAGAGACTAGGTAAAGCCGTGAGGTATTTTTTGTGACCATATCTAGAGTGCTTCCTTCAGAGGAAATATTGCTCACATCCCTCGAAAACAGACCTATTCCCTCCAAATTGAAGATCCAATTAGTTTGGGGATGGAGTCTCCATGGAGAGAAGGAACTCCTTATATAGTGAACTGAGTAACAGAAGCTGCCCACTGCCCCCACTGTTAGGGTGGTAGGTGGCGTGAGCTGTTGAAAGAATTCACATAGAGAAGAAAGTTTTTATTCACTCTCCAAGAAAGGAATGGGGCATGGTGTGGAGAGATACACCAGCATCGAGGGGCTTTGAGCTTTTATTGGATTATAATTGAATTAAAAAAGGGTGGGCAGGGGTGCCATTGTGTGGCCCCTGGGCAGTTGGGGCATTGTAACAGAAGGCTGTAGTTTGTTCCCATGTTGTCTTCTGCCTGTGCTGTAAGGAGCCGTTAGTTCAGTTCTTGCTTTCCAGTCCTGGGCACATAAGCTCAGAAGAGTAAAATGGCAGTCATGTTTAACAGGGTCATAGGCCTGCTAGGCAAATTGTGCCACAGTAGCAAATGGGGCTGACTATCCTTTCACCCACCTCACACATCGGAGAACCCCTATCTCTGCTTTGGTCCTGGAACTCTTAGTCTAAGTCTGCAGTGTTAGGGTTCACTGGCTTTTGGATGCCCAGGGATCCAGGGTGATCTTGGGGGACTGATGGCCAAAGAAGACGTCCTCTACTCTGTCCAGGGCTCCATGCTTCTTTCGTTTCCTTTGCAGCTCTTGGGGAGGCGAACTGATGAGATTTTTACCATTTTACTGCTTCACTTCCCTGTCATTCTATGGCCGCAGCTCTCTAGCCCTCACCCCTGTCCCTTACTCAGCTATTTTCCTGAGGGTAGTCTGGGGTAGTGCAAGGTCATCTTGGTTTCAAAGGCTCTGCTTCTGAAGGACAGGATTTTCCTCTAGAGGCTCAGTTAGTTGTGTTCAGCTCTGTTTAATTCCCCGCCCCGCTCCCCCGCCCCTAAGAAGCTTTGGTCTTTCCAGATGGGTGTGAGAATTGAACTGGACCTCTGAGAGAAATTCTAGGTTGATTGGGAGAAGGGGGTGAGATGTACGGGTTCTGTAAAATGTATATCTTTAGGTCTCTGAAGGGCAAAGAACTTCAGAAGAAAAGAAAAGATGGGAGACGGCAGGGAGAAGAACACAGCAGGGGGAAAAGTGGGGGAAAGATTCAGGGGAGCTGAACCATGACTTATGGGGTCCTAGGTCTTTGGAGCTCATTAATAACAAGGTTTCAAGTAATTTTTAAACTGAGCCCATAAGATAGGTAGGGCCCCTTACCCTCCTTGATTTGATTATTTCAGCTCTGCTTCTATGGATTCTGTGGTCCCTTCCTCTCTAAATCTTTGTCATTAAGAGAGATATTAAACCTAACCTCTAGGAGCCTAAACCGTTGTAGCAAAATGAGTTGGAGCAGGTGGTGGAAACATTAGCTTTTGTCAGGCTCTGGAGTGAATTTCATATCAGACTTTCAGTGGGTCCGATTCAGAAAGGGGAGTGGATGAGTGGGTGAGCTTAGTGTGGCCTTTTCTGAGAGAGGAGCCTCCGCTCTGGAGCAGCTAGCTCTTTGGCTCGTTTCAGTGTCCCCTGCCACCTTGGTGTCCCTGCCAGCCTTTCTGTAGTAAAGGTGATTAGTCTATGATGCTCTTGGTATGGGAGTAAAACTCACTTTGATTTTTTTTTCTAGATTCACATATGAAGATTATCAGAACACTGCAGAATGGCTTCTGTGCCACACCAAGCATCGACCTCAAGTGGCAGTGATCTGTGGTTCTGGTTTAGGAGGTCTGGCTAATAGATTAACTCAGACCCAGATCTTTGACTACAGTGAGATACCAAACTTTCCCCAAAGTACAGGTACTGGCAAGAAGGAGAAAGGGATGGGACGAGGCCTATTGGTGGGGTTGTGAGGGGAGGGCAATGCTTCTATGCCCAGACCTGTTATCCTCTATAGCATTGGACTAAAGACACCTGTCATAAAAGAGGAAAATAAACCACCCGTGTTAGAATAACATTAGAATGGAATTTCCCTGAAAGAAATTTCATAATAGCCCTGGCTGGTGTAGCTCAGTGGATTGAGCACCAGGCTGTGAGCCAGGAGGTCACTGGTTCGATTCCCAGGGTAGGGCACATGCCTGGGTTGCAGGCCAGGTCTCCAGTAGGGGGAGCGCAAGGGACAAGCACACATTGATGTTTCTCACTCTCTTTCTCCTTCCCTTCTTCTCTCCAAGAGTAAATAAATAAGATGTAAAAAAAAAAAAAAAAGAAAGAAAGAAAGAAAGAAAAATTTCATAATAATAGGGCATGTGTGTGTCAATGGTACTATACGATGACATATTTCCTATGCTTTAATGACCAAGAGCTCCTTAAGGTCTACACCACCTCCCCAAACACACCGTAGTCACCACATACTCACACGCCTATCCAATGTCTATCATTCTTAAGCTTAAACAGAAAAAGAAGTGCCTATAAACTCCCAAGACAAAAGCGCCCTCCCTTGTCCTGTGTCCTCCTGCTATTTCTAACCTCCCCAGCTCTAGCTTCAGTCCTGGGATTAGGCTTATGCTAGTGAACAGCAACAGATGAATACACAGACCTCTAGATTCTTGCAAATGGATAATCCATGAATACACAGAACCCAGAACTGACACACTGCTCTTTGGATGGATAAAGGCAAATGTCCTCTGTGCACAGTGGAGCTCTGAGGGACCTGAGGATAATATTCCCATCATCCTAATAGCAGCTGGAAAGTGCTACAACTAAGGCTTAGAAAAGGGCCAGGTGAGAAAGGAGCAAGTTTCAAGTAAAGAACAAAGTTATTTGGTTTGCTTATTAATAATTTCTCAGATAATCAACTTCCTTTGTTTAATCCTTTTTTTTTACTTCTACCTTTCTTCCTCTTTCCCCTGGAGAGTTAGGACTTTCAACAAATTTTTCAGTTAATTTTCCAAACCTTTTAGAGCAAGAGTGGGAGACCAGAGCAGGAAGATGGGAATGGGGGTTGGAGAAGGAAATACCGAAAAGAGAGGGAGAGCAACGTTTTGTAAAGGAGATAGTAGTGACTGACGTTGGCTCCACCTGCCATGTCTGCCTACCTTCCCCCAACCCCCCTTAGTAAGGGCACTTGCACAATGATAAGTAGATTAATTTTTTAAAACTTTATCAGCGTACTATTTATACTCCCTTTGAGTTTTCCTAAATGTCACTTCTGTTCTATTACTAGTAATTTTTTTTTTTAAATAAACTTCTCTTTCTGAGTATCTCTCAACTCTTCCCTTTGGTTTTGGTTCCTTTCCCAGACTATCCATTCCTTAAAGGATGAGTTGGCCATGTCTATTAGAGGAGAAATGCCAGATAAAAAAAATGGCAGTACTGGTTATTACATCTGTGTGGGGAGTTATCTTTGCATTCCCATGCCCCTGTGTGCTCCATCATGGACATGGATTCCCCCAGTATTGCTTTGTGGGTCCTAATGGAGAAGACTTGTATGGGTCTAATCTCGGGCTCCTTGCCCTTGTTCAGTAGCCTCTTTAGGAAGCAGAATATACCATGAGCTCCCTTTCAGAAGTGAGGATACATATAGTTTAGTTAGGGTAATAACTAGGAATACACATTTTGGAATTTTGGAAATTTTGGAAAAGTCTAAGTATTGCATTCAGTATTACCCACTTCTTTTTGTTGTTTTTTTGTTTTGTTTTATTTACTTTTATTCTCTTACAGTGTGGCTTTCTCATTCTTTTGAAATTTCTTTAAAAAAACACCCTTTCCCCCTCTTCCTTTGATGTATGTTCACATTGAACATCCTTACCCCAAAGCTCCAATCTTAAAATGTACGTATGTATTTATTTGTAACTTTATGATTAATTTCTGTCTCTACTAGACCTAAAATTTCTGAAAGTGAAGATATCGATAATAATGTTTTCTTTTGCGTAATTATATTCTCACATATTGAGCACAGTGGGATGGCTCATAGCACGTGCTCAATGGATATATGTTGTATGAAAACATCATCCCATTCATTTCCCTTTCTTTGTATTCAGTGCCAGGCCATGCTGGTCGACTTGCATTTGGGTTCCTCAATGGCAGAGCCTGTGTGATGATGCAGGGCAGATTCCACATGTATGAAGGCTACCCACCCTGGAAGGTAAATTAGGAGCGTAAGTCTAGTTGGAGCTGGAAGAAGGAGTAGAGAGTTCACTATTCCACTTTATTGCCTAACTGCCTGGGCTAGGTCGAGTTTTGTTTCCCTCCATTCAGGATGTATAGCATGCACATCTGCATAGTGGATTGGTGAAATTTTAAAGAACACTTTCTGATCTTTTATCTTTTGCTTCTAAGGTGACATTCCCAGTGAGGGTTTTCCAACTTCTGGGTGTGGACACCCTAGTGGTCACCAATGCAGCTGGAGGGCTCAACCCCAAGTTTGAGGTTGGAGATATCATGCTGATCCGTGATCACATAAACCTACCTGGTCTCTGCGGAGAGAACCCTCTCATAGGGCCCAATGATGAAAGGTATTTATTTTGCTCCTTTGTTTATAGATGGGAGGTATAAGGACTTGTCTGGAAGTGAGGAGAGAGCTCACTGTCTTCCATTAATCTGAGATAATACAACCTGTGCCCTAGATTTGGAGTTCGTTTTCCTGCCATGTCTGATGCCTACGACCGGGAGATGAGACAGAAGGCTCACTCTACCTGGAAACAAATGGGGGAGAAGAGAGAGCTACAGGAAGGCACCTATGTTATGCTGACAGGCCCCAACTTTGAGACTGTGGCTGAGTGCCGTATGCTGCAGAAGCTGGGTGCTGATGCTGTTGGTGAGAAGGGGTACTTGGCTAGAGTCTTAAAGAGGGAGGGATCTGGTAAAATAGAGATGGGAAGAAGTAAAAGAGTATAGACCTGATAGTGGATTGAGACAAGATCTGACTTAAGGAAGCCTGAATTTCTAGAAAGTGATTTCTAGAAAGCTATTAAGGTGGTGAAGTTTGGTGTGTTATAACATCAAACCTCCCCACTCAGCATCAAGGGCTTTAGCGGCTGTAATGCTAATGGCCTATCCTTGATTTGATAACTGTTTCTAAGGATTATTCTAACAACGGTCATAGCCACCCCTGTATCTCTGGCTGGAAGATGGAGCTACGTCATTAGAACTGACTTCAAAATTACCACAGACAGTTACAGAAATAAAGCATTGCAATGGTAATATTGATGAGAAATGGGTAAGGCCCTCTGAAGCCCTGATCTTTATGAATATGGAACAACCTAAACTCAACACTCATTGAGCTGATGCTTTGCTTACTGTTTTGAAAATTTTAACAATGCTTACCATATTGTTCATTAAAAATTTAACACATGAGCCCTGGCTGATGGCTCAGTGGGCTGAGTGCTGATTTGCAGGCCAAAAGATTGGCAGGTTCAAAACCCAGTCAGGGCACATGCCTGGGTTGCAGGCCAAATCCCCAGTTGGGGGCATGTGAGGGGAAACCAATTTATGTCTAGAAAGAGAGGGAGAGAAACCTGTGTTCTCCTCTTCTCCCTAAAAATAAAAAAATCTTTTAAAAAAAAATTTAATATGATTATTGTGGGCTAAACCAAAAGTGTTTCGAGGAAACTGTATAGTATTTACATTAGAAGAGAAAAAAAACAAGGTTAAAAAATTAGCTAAATATGAAATTTAAGAATCATCAAACCTGCCCTGACAGGTGTGGCTCAGTTGATTGGGCATCGCCCTGCAAAGTGAAAGGTTGCTTGTTCGATTCCCAGTCAGGACACTTACCTGGGTGGCAGCTTCGGTCCACAGTTGGGGGCGTGCACCAATTGATGTTTCTCTCTCACATTGATGTTTCTCTCCCTCTCTTTCTCCCTCCTTTCCTCTCTCTTTAAAAATAAATAAAATCTTAGGGGAAAAAAAGAATTAACAAACCTTAGAATAAACCCAAAGTTAGCTCAAAACTTTGAAAACATTTAGGTATTCAGACTTAATCATGTAACCTATAGAATTCTCATTCCACAATTCCAGGTTAATCATTTTCAACTAATCCTTTTATTATCTTCATGAAGTCCTGAATAAGAGACTTGCTTTAGGTTACTCATGTGGGTTAATTGGGCCAGTTGGACCAAATTAACCTGTGAGCCAAAGTTCAGTCCAGATAAAGAGCTTCTTTGTAAAATACTTCAGTTATATGACATTGATATCGGGATAATGTTTACTTAAATGACTGTTTGTCACTTCCTTTTTTCTTTTCATTGCAGTTATCTTCTGATCCTTTAGGTCTATTCAAGAATCTGTAAAGTTTTTTTAATAAAGCCGTATTGATATTCTAATACATGACAGCAAAACTTACCTAGTAAATTCTTTTTTAAAATGGAACTTATTGGGGTGATAATGGTTAATAAAATTCTATAGGTTTCCAGTGTACAATTCTATAATACGTCATCTGTATGTTTTATTGTGTGTTTACCACTCCAAGTCAGGTCTCCTTCCATCATCATTTATCTCCCCTTTACCTTCTACCTCCACCCTCCCACCTCCCGGTTGTTTTTTGAAATGTTAAATTGTCAATGAGGTAATGGATGGAGATTCGGTTAAAGAGTGAGGAAAAATGTCATTTGAGGATCCTGACACTTGGTTTTCCTTTCCATCAGGCATGAGCACGGTACCAGAAGTTATAGTTGCAAGGCACTGTGGACTTCGAGTCTTTGGCTTCTCCCTCATCACTAACAAAGTCATCATGGATTATGAAAGCCGTGAGAAAGCCAACCATGAGGAGGTACTAAATGCCGGGAAACGAGCTGCAGAGAAATTGGAACAGTTTGTCTTCAATCTTATGGCTAGCATTCCACTTCCTGCCTGTGCCAATTAACCAGCCCTGGAATGGTCTGGTCTCTCCCTTGTGGGACCCAAGTAGCTACTACCTACTTTGGACTCTTGCTGGGCTGACATGCCTCTAGCCTTAAGTAGTAACAGAAAAGAGAGGCTGGTCCCTGTCCTTCACTTTCCCCACTTCTTCCACCAGACCCTTCTGGTGCCTGTCCCTCCTTTGTTCAATTGTCTTCTCAAAACAGTTCTGCCTTTTGTTCCCCTCCTCCCATTATTTCCCAAGAACTGGAGCCCAAGACAAAGCCTACTACGCATCCATGAATGTTCCCAGGATTTGACTTGGGTCACTGAACTTCAACAGTAATAATTGCTGCTAACTTTTGGAGATGATGTTCTTACATTCCTGGGGACTCAGATCTATCTCCCCCAAAGTCTTAGAGACCACACAGAGACCAGTCCAATACCTCTTGGATTTTAATACTATCATATTTTGAGAATAAAGAGAAAGATGAAATTACTTATTCATTTTTGTGCAATTTGGGATAAGGCTAGGACACAGGACAAGATTGGCGGGAAAGGCTGTGAGATCACGTATCTTGTATGACCATGTGCTTCTCAGACAAGTAGCTAAGAACCAAGGTGGTGTGGAATGTAAAGCTAGGAAAGGATGAGGAAAAGGCAAGATGATGAAAATAGAGAAAGATGTTAGAAAGTGATAAGGAAAGGCTAAGTTATGGTGCATAATGGCCACTTCCCTCAAACCAGTCTTGCCTCTGTCCCTTGCCTCCTGATTGTTTTCCTTTCCACACTCATGAATTCTGAATTAGTTTACTGATTTCCACTTCTGCTCCGTTCTTGCCAGTTCCTTGTTAAGCCCTAATTATATTTCCTCTTCATTTTCTTCTCCGCTACTCTAACTTCTTTCATAATTAATAGCAACTGTACTCTTCTGAACTCCATTCTAACAATGCAGTGGTAAATCTGCTGCCAAACCACTACACTGCTCATTAGAGTTCTGTCAACCCCAGGCAACCTGTGAAGCTGGCTCATGTCCAGCTTCTCTTTGAGTACTTTCTGTTTCCTTATTGCTTCTCTATTGGGCTCTAGCCTTCCTCCTCATTTTTGCTTGATCAAATCCCCCCCCGGTGACACAGCCAGCTGGGCATGGCCCTTAGTTCGTGGCTCACTGCACTGTGTGCTTATCAGCGTGCGTTCAGCTGGCCAGCATATTTGAAAACCACGCCACCCACTCAGGCCCAGGTGCCTTTTGAGAAAGGATAGTACTGGATGAGCCTCTACTGGTGACATTTCAATTATTAGTATAATATGGAAGAAGCAGATTGGACAGAACACTTGAAAACTTTCAAGTAATTCTTTGGATTATTTGACCTGCTTAGCTGAGCCCAGCACAAACAAAAAGCTTTCTGGAGTGGCCCTATTACCACTCATCAGTTCTACTTTCATCCAGCTCTGAAACCCTACCTGAAACTAGGCAGTCTGCCAGCACCTGTCATTTGTCTCTGTGAGACCTGCTGTAGAGGAAGTACTGTCAGGCCTTTTAGACACACATACAACCATAACTTGTTCATCTAAGGAGATATGTTGTAGACATTGCTTTTTAATCAATAAAGTGTCACTGCATAACACTCAGCTAAGATAATGTTAAATTAAGAATATAAAAATGGTCTTAAGTGCCTAAGAATCTTTTTAAAAAATTTTTATTCTTCAGTTACAGTCAATATCCAGCACTGTTATATTAGTTTTGGGTGAAGAGCATGGTGGCCAGACAACCATGGAATTTGTGAAGTGATCCCCTAATTCAAGTATCCACCTGGCACCATACATAGCTCTCACAATATTTGTACTTCTTAATCTTGTCACCTTTCACGCAGTCCCCTTTCCCCTTTGACAACCATCAGTTTGTTCTCTGAGTCTGTTTCTGTTTTACTTGCTTATTTTGTTTAGATTCCACGTAAAAGTGAAATCACAGTATTTGTCCTCCTCTGCTTTATTTCACTTAGCCTATTTCCCCTTCACTTATTTCCCCTCTATCCATGTCACAAATGATAAGATTTCATTCTTTTTTATAAGAGAGGTACAATCTTAAGAATACATATATAAAACCCTTAATTTTTAATATAAGAGTATAAAATAGGTACATGTCACATGTGATGGGAGCCCAAAGGATGGACAGATTATATACATTGGGCCATGAGGATTGGTTGTTTAGGGAAAGTTAGAGAAAACTGAGCTAAGTCTTCTAAAGTGGAAGGGAGGAAGAGGATTTCACACCAGGGTGAGAAAAAACAGCTATAAAAAGTAGTAGACATGTTTGTGGGTCATTGTCACAACAGGTGTGACTGGAACAGAGGACATGAGAGGCTCCTAGTGAGACATGGCAGACAGGTATTGGAGGTCAGAGGAGGGCTGCATTTGGTGTTCAGCTTTCTTACCCCCGATCTACCTCTTGGTGAGATATATCAGGAACCAGAATGGTGCCACCTGAAAAACAGAGAGGGATGGAATATTTAAGAGCATTTCTGGTTCTCTACACGCTCAGAGAAACTCTCTAGTAACAAACTATAGAAATGATTCCTAAAAGTATAGTCTTTCATGTGTCTAGCTTTTTATATTTAGTGGAGGGTGTTGAGTTTTATGATAGAATACTAGAATCAAGATGAAAATTATGCATTTGATGTCCTAATTCAAAAGTGTAATTTCTTATGTCTAACAGAAATTAGTACTCATCTACTTTATGTGTATATGCATACATCAATTATATATATTACTATATTCATGTCAGGTCATTAAATATACCCCCAAAGCTACAAAAAGAAATTGTGAATATAATACAAACTAAGGTGTGACAAGAAAAGTAGCTACAGGCAAGTGATAATCACTTAATTTTAGGTAATAAATATTAATTTAAAGTTAATTCACTAGAATTTTAGGTTTGAGGGGTATGCATCGGGGAGAGAGTACATGAACACAAAGTGTTTTCAATTTCTATTTTAAAACAGCTTTACTGAGATATCCACATATAGTAATGTTTATCCTTTTAAAGTATATAGATTGATAATTTTTGGTGTATTGACAGGTAAGTCAATTTTAGAACACTTTCATCACCTCAAAAGGAAATCTTGTACCTTTTAGCTATCATTCTGCACCCCTATCTCCCTAGTCCACGCAACCATTAATGTATTTTCTGTCTTTGTAGATTGAGCAATTTGGGCTTTTATGTGAATGGAATACTATATGGAATCTTACAGACTCTTTTGACTGACTTCTTTCACTTAACAATGTTTCCAAGGTTCACCCAAGTTGTAGGACACATTTTTATGACCAAATAATATTCCATTGTACGGATACACCACATTTTGTTTATCAAATGTCTTCAATTGAAAAGTTTCAACTAATCCAGCCCAAATTGAATGTATAAGTTTAGGTGACCAAGAGAATGAAAGCACAAAGTCAAGGGAGTTATGACTGGGAGGGCCATGTAAAGAAGGATTGTTTTTGAAAAATCCTGGTGATGAGATTATTCTCCAAAGGAGCCTGCAGAATGCCTGCAAAATGGCCTTTTTCCTGAATCTCAGGATAGGTATCAAAACACACTCCATTAAGCTAGGCTTTCTTCCCCTGACCCGATCATGGCCATTTTTATCAACATCAATAATGTTTGTTAATCCTGTACTTTGAACAGAACGTTGCCCTAAAGCCATGCTATAAACTGGTAATGAGACAAAGTGCTTGTGAGCCAAATGGGAGACAGGATATATGTGTAAAAAAGGAAAAAACGAGCCTTAATTAGTTGTGCCCTCTGTGCCTACTTGTCTCTTCGTATGTTATATTGTCATTGTTTAGAATTGGCTTTCAGCCACTGACTCTGAATAAAGCAAAAGGGACTGACTTTTTGAAAAGGGAATGCAATAATGTGTGAAAAGTAGCTTGTGCTAATGATGGCTGTGCTACAGGAATTCAGAGGAGAGAACCAACACTGGGGATGGGGAATGGGAAGAAGATCGGGGAGACGAAATAGGTCTTACGGGAAAGAGAGGTGAAGCGGACTGGCAGGTGAATTCGGGAATGTTTAATCATTTAGCCGATCGAAATGGTTAAATTGAAGAAATCATGAATGGGAGCAGCGGGCGGTATGGTGGAGAGGGACTAAATTTAAATTGTTTAGGGCTCTGATTCCAGGCTGAGGAGTAAGGACTTTATTCTTGAGGCAAGATGGCCAGTCAGTGAAGGCTTTTAAACTTAGGACTGACAGGTGGAAATCACACTGTAGTATTTTGATGAACTGAAGCTTAACTGAAAGGCTTGTTTTGATGGTAGAATTACTTTCACCCCAAAAAAGCTGTATAGAGTAGCATAATTTGTGGGGTTAAGTATTTATTTTTAATCAGGTTGAGGTTTGGTGTAGTGTTTTGAAGAATATAATGTTATAAAATGTAAAGGTAAAGTGTAAGAATTTAGAAATGAAAATGTACATTCAAGTTCAATTAGTATTTTTCTGTTTTCTTATATTAAAATTTTGACTAGGTGATATAATTACATAAAAAAATCAAGCAATGAAAAATTTTACCTTCATCCTGTCCTCCACCTGCCCTTTCTGCCTCACCTTGCTGGTAACAACTTTTAGTAGTTTCTTGTGTGTTCTTCCAGGATTTATATAAATATGAACAAGTAAAAATACATATTTTTTTCTCCTCTTACTACTATACATAGAAGTTAGCATGTTAAATGTACTGTTCTGCATCTTGCTATTTTATCTTATTATATCTTGGAGATCTTTTCACATCAATAAATTAGTGTGCTTTCTTGATGAGTTAGGTCAATGCTGTTACCCATATTTTTTAGGAGCAAAGGAAGAACATGGTCTTGCATTTTTAAAAAGCCACTTCCCACTTAGTGCAAGATTATTTGTTTCTTGATTACTAAGAGGAATACAGACAAAGAGATAATGTTATTTGGTGCTCCTTTAAAGCGAGAAGATGGGAAGACTGGAACCATTCATTCTGTGCTGTGCCTTCTGCTTAAGTTGATTTGGCTTAGATTTGCATTGCCTTTCTCTTTGTAAATAGGCCTCTGCTTTTCATAATTATTTTTGTTTCCAAGATACACCCTTTGAACAAACACTGGCTACCTCCCTGCTTTTTCTGTCATTGTAAATTTGAATTTTAATAAAAATGAAAAATATCTTGTCTTTAAATTTTGGCCTAAATTAGCTTTGACGTTGTTTGGGATTAATCTGCCTTTGTTCTCTTGTATTTAGGCCACGGAACCCCCATTCTCCCATCAGGTTTTCACTCTTCCTTCCGTTCTGAATTTGTTCATTTTAGGAAGCTTACTTTCCCTCTCTTGTTAGATTCTTTTTTCTTGGCCTCTTTTCTTCTGTTATTCATGTTTAGTATGCAATTTTGCTTGTTAGCTATCTGATTTTGACCTTAGTCTTTCCTTTTCCTATTTTATTTTAAAGTGTTTCTACCTGAGCTACTATAATTTTATAGTAAAAGATTAGTAGGAATATAATACTACTTTACGTGTAG